GCTGTGGGAGGCCTGGGCTTTGCCCCTCTGCCAGAGCTGCAGGGTCAGAACTGGGCTGGTTTTCATGGGCAGAGAGAAGCCACATTTGCATGTCTTCCTGCTAGAGCAGGCTCTGGAGATGGACCTGGGAACAGGGCACTGCTCAGAGCAGTTATAAGATACCTTTCACAGTAGTGACAGATACAGAAAACAACAGAGTAAATTATCTCTGTGAACATCATTTCAATATTAAGGATTCACCACACTTTATAGACTTCCTTTTCCTTTTTATATTTTATCTAACAATTTTAATTGGTTTTTATTTAAATTAAAATCAACCATATTTTATAAACCAATCCCAGTTTCCTCTCCCACCTTCCCTTCCATTTCCCCATCAGCCCCTCCATCCCACCCCCTCCATCCACTCTCGAGGGAGGGTGAATCCTCCCATGGGGGATCATCAACTTCTGTCACATCATTGGAGGCAGGACCTAGGCCCTCCCCCATGTATCTAGGCCGAGATTATTCCTGTATATGGAATGGACTTCCAAAGCCCTTTCGTGCACTAGGGATAAATTCTGGTCCCACTGCCAGAGGTCCCATAGACTACCCAGGCCTTCCAACTGAAACACATTCAGGGGCTTTGGTTCAGTTTTTGCTGTTTCCCAACTGTCAGATTGGGATACCTGCGCTCCCACTTGCTCAGGTCAGCTGTTTCTTTAGGTTTCCCCAGCATTGTCCTGACCCCTTTGCTATCACTCCTCCCTCTCTACAATTGGATTCCTGGAGTACAGCTCAGTGTTTAGCTGGGGATCTCAGCTTCTGCTTCCAAAAGCTACTGATGAAAGCTCAAGGATGTTATTTAAATAGTCTTCAATCACATTATAGGGGAAGTGCATTTAAGGTAGCCTCTCCACTATTGTTTAGATGATTAGTTGGGGCCAACTTTGTGGATCCCTGGACATTTCCCTTGTGCCATATTTCTTGTTAACCCCAGAATGGCTCCCTCTATTAAGGTATCTCTTGGCTTACACTTATTTTCCAATATTGCAGTAGAACTATGTTCCCATGGACATAGCAAAGTATACCCTTCATATCCATCCAAACACGAATTTTCCTTTTTTACTTTAGTAAATAGCATTCATTCCTTTGATTCCAAGGTAAGTTTTATACTTTTGTCTTTAATATGCATTTGTCTGCTGATACAGTTGTAAGATTCATGAAACATTTTGCAACTCCTATGATTGGTCAAGATGAAGGAGACCAATCACAGGATGGAGGGCAAAAGATGTCTAGTCATGATGACATCACCTCTCAACTAGGTATTCCCTGAGGTATCTGTTAACCCTGCTGAATCAGATAAGTGAAACACATATCTTCTTTTCTTGAGAAGAAAAACAATACTGATGTCTTAGACGCTGTTTAATTAGCAGTAACCTATTAATAACCTTTAAGAGGGAGTAGTGACATTACAAGCACAGTATTTATTAGTCAAAATGAGGTATGTGTTTTGAAATGTTGACATTTGAATCCAGGCCTCCTATATACTACACAAGAACTCTTAAATTTGAATACTTCCAAGTGCTTGATGAGAAAAAGGCACAGAAATGCCTTAATTTTATTTATGTGTATATGCTTGGGCAGTTTAAGTCTCATGTTGATTATGAGCTGCCTATTTCATGTGTCAGGAAATGCACATAAATCCCCAGTCGATGGGGGATGTACTTCTGTGTATGTTTATCTTATTTATTGTTAAATAAAATGCTGCTTGGCCAATGAGACAGCAAGTTTGATGGGACTATGAGTCAAAGAGGATTCTGG